GTTGATTTCAGAGCCCTGAAATAGTTTTAAAAAATTTATCCAGTCTAACATTTGTTTTATGGGGATAGAATTATTTACTGATCTTTTCACTATACCATAGTCAGATGTCCTACCTCTCTCTATTGAATTGAATAGGAATCCTATTTTCGGGAAATTTGAACTATTTCTCTTACTTACAGAGAAGTAGTATATTGTGATCTAGATAAAATGGTAGCAATCATTTGGATGCACTACTTTGTGTCATCAATTTGGTAGGTGATTTTCATACAAGATGTATATTTTTCACATCTCTGTAAGGTAGATATGGTTTTCATTTTATAGGCTTTGAAAGGTAAGTGATTTTCCCTTTTATGCTATTATTAACAATGCCATTGATTTTGTCTGTGTTGACACTGACTTAGATAGCTTGGGTATAAGGAAGGAATGTTCAAATAGAATTTTTAGTCATTTTTATGTCAGTAAGTCAGTGAAATTTGAGTCAACCAACATTTCTCAAGTACTTAACCAGTGTCAAGCAATGTTCTAGTTGCAAAGTGTGAAGGATGAAGGATAGGGCTGCAGGGAGGAGAGGCAAAAGAAGGTGATAAAAAGCATGGATAAGTTAAAATAAGACATGGTCCCCTCTCTCAAGGAATTCATGATCATGAAGGGAAGACAGATGTATTCAACCAATTGTAATGCAGCTGAACGGTAGGACACATGATTCTTAAACCTTAATGAACATTCAAATTACATGGTAAGCTGCAGATTCTGATTCAGGGGTTCTGAGTGGGACCTGAGATTTTGTATTTTTAACAAGTTTCCAATTGATGCTGCTGCTGCTGATATATAGATTACACATTGAGGAGCAAAGCTCTAGTACTGATGTAAGCAAGGAGTTATAAGGCCACATAAAACAAAACAACCACAAAAAAAGAAAATATGTACATTTTGGTGCAGTTAGTTGAAGAAGAAAACTTGTTTCAGAGAGATTAAATAATTTGCCTTTCTGAGCTATTTTTTATAATGCCATTGAGATACATTAGAACTGGATAACATTTGATCTGGGCCTAAAATGATAAATAGAATTATAACGGGAAAGCTAGCCTTTCCAAGTAGAGAGGAAAACTTTGGCAAGGCATAGAAATAATATGTTTATGTGTGTTTTTAATAGGAAATGCCCTTAAAACATTTTTTTTTCCCTAGGTGAAACAGAATACCCAGTTAGGAATAGTTCCAAATATGAGGCTATATTATTAGGGTAATGCTTGCTGAAGTAGAAGAAGAACCCCCAAATATCATTGGCTTAAAACAGGAAAAGTTTAATTTTTACTCACCTAGATTTCAAAATGGATGTTCCTAAGACATCTCTATTTTAAACATCTCCTTCCCTCTTGATTTGGGGACTTTAATGTGTAGCACCACTATCTTAGATGTGTTACTTCCAAGGTCACTGTACATCCATCTAGCAAGCTTGCTGAACAGGAAAAGGGGTAGTTTCTTACCACCTTGCCAGTAGAAGTAAAATTCATTACTACTTCTCATATTCTGTTAAACTATCATAAGCTCCACCCAGATTATAGATTCTTCTCTGGAATAAGCATGGGAGATTGGATCTAGAGAACAGGAAGTTGCAAATCATTAACACATAAATGATATATTTTTCACATACCTAGGAACTTATAAGTATTTTAAAATAATAAGTTATAGTAGTGTGGTAAATTTCTAATCTTAATGATTTTGTTAAATTTTATATCTCTTAATTAAGAGATAGATATTTTAGGTGTGTTCTAGAATTTTACTCTTATAGAATACTTTTAATTTTGTTGTTCAGAAATTTTGTTTTTGCAAAGTTCACTTGCCTCCCCACCAGGTAGTAGATGAGACAAGTGAAAGGAGAATCTGTTTCTCCCTTCAATTTGCTAGTGCCGAGTCAAACATGAAAATAAGCAGAATTAAGTTAGAAACAAAACTAAACAATGTAATCTCTGCATAAGCAATTACATATATAATTAGTTATGTATATAATTACATTTTTTTTTGTAAAGGAAGGAAAAATGTTTTGTTTTTGCAAAGTTCACTTGCCTCCTCACCAGGTAGTAGATGAGACAAGTAAAAGAAGAATCTGTTTCTCCCTTCAGTTTGCTAGTGCCTAGTCAAACATGAAAATAAGCAGAATTAAGTTAGAAACAAAAACTAAACAATGTAATCTCTGCATAAGCAATTATATATAGAATTAATTATATATATAATTACAATTTTTTTGTAAAGGAAGGAAAAATGTTCATATCTATGGAGATAAAATTTAATTTATTTTAAGTCTCAGGAAATCAAAAGTAAAACACATGATCTATATTAGTGTAATTCAGTAGGGAAAAGGAATTAGGCTAAGAGACGGAAGATCTTGGTTCTAACTTAAGCTGCACTATTTTGTATCCATTTGACTTTGACCTAAGGTTTATGAGCTTGAGTTTCCTTGTCTATGTAATGGGGATCACAGTATCTGTCCCTTTCCTTGCATGCTTATTTTAAGAATAAGAAAAATGTATTAACATTCTTATAACTGAGAAAAGTAATATTTTTCAAATTAAAAAAAATTTAAGAAAAGTAATATTAAAATGTAAGATATTTTAGGAAAGAAAATTCCCATTTATTGGCATTTTGTTTATACCAAATTAATAGAACTTTAAGATATTCAGTTATAGCATTTCATTTTATTAATTATCCATGATGTTTATCATATATTTTAGCAGTAAATTTAAAAATGAAATCATTTTTGTGTGTGTGCCATTTCAGAGTCTCTTAAAATACTACCTAAAAATGTTACAACAATTAATTGGAACGTTGATAGCAGAATTCATTTTAGGACAGGAATAATCTTTGATTTGTGTTATGTAAGTCAACATGTATTTGAATAATAATTCTATCTTGATAATTTTATGAAAAATTAATACTGTTGTTTTTACTACTTTTAAGAATGTATAAAATGGAAACTAGACCTTCTAACCACCTTTGAAATCAATAGATCACTACTCTAGGGAATTTAAAATCAGGCTTATATTGGACTACTCTGTTTAAAAAAAATACTTGTTTTGGTAAAGTATTACCATTGGCTTGAATTTCTCTTAAAAATAATGATTATATAGGTTATAGATATAGAAATAATGATATATAGATTATATAGATCACTGGAAAAATTTAGAGCAGATATCACTGATATCTGTGCATACATATATGTATATATAAATGTGCATAGATCACATTAGTCATTTTTCATAGATAATTCATTAATTCAGCATGAAATAACACGAATTAATTTGATCTTCACTGGTTTATTCCAGAATGAGGTTGCAGTGAGTCTTAACAAATCTGTAAAAGGTTGTAACTGGAAAGTTTCAGTGTAATCTTAGTTATTTAGGTAACTAGATGAAAATTTAAAAATAGGAATATTTCCATGAGAAAGTACAAAATAATTATTTCTAATCCCCGCTGAAGTTATTCTCTGTCTTGAGGACATTTGCTAAAGGAGTACACCCTATTGTTTGTCTTTCTAATATCAGGTTTTCAGAATCTCACCCTGTAGGTTGTTTGGTTCAAGCTCACATGGGACCCAGAATCCTGCAGCGTCCTAGGGCAGATCAGAATAGTTGCTGATAGGAGACCCCTCAAAGAACAGGCCCTTTCCAAGAGTTGCCTTTTCCTTTTCAGCTACTCTGAAGGCATGTGGAGAGGTTTTTTGAATTCTTTCTCTCAGTCATTTATTTTAATTCTTCAGTTCTTCCTCTCCCTCCCCACCACCTTATTTTTACCATATGTTATATGCCAGGCACTGTGGTAGCCATAGAAAGATTTAAGAAGACAGGATTTTTAACTTCTTTGAACTAATATGGTGAACTGTAAAAGCAAAGTATCAATAAACCTTCTAGACTTAAAAAAAAAAGAAAAAAGGACTAGATAGACACCAAAGTTGATGTACAATCAATATTGTATGGGCTACTAGAGATCTACTTTGGGTATGAAGAGGGTACAGAGGATGGGCACCTCACACAGCCAGAGTGAGGAGGACAAAGAAAGGTTCCTACACCTGTGGGAGTAATTTGGGATGAATCTAGGAGAAGTAGGAGTCTGCCAGGCAAAGAAAATGGTAGAGGAGGGAAGACTTCCCTGGTCAGTGAAACTCATGAGCAAAGATACTAAATGAGGACCAACTTGGAGTTTACTAGGAACCTACAGGTAGAGGCACTTCCTGATGTGCACTTTTGAATAGTTAATGCTTTCTAAAGATGTTTTATCACCAAGGGATACTCATTACTGCTTATTCAGGCTCCTACTAGATCAGCTATATTTAGTTCTTTAGCTATGTTGTACAAAAATAACACATCTGTCTATTTGGGGTTGACATAGTGGAAAGGCTATGAGTCATTAGAATTATACACACCTGGGGTCATTTCCCAGCTCTGCCACCCACTCACCATGTGACCAGGCCTAAGTTATTTAAACCATCAGAGCTTTCATTTCTTTATCCTTAAAACAGAGACAAAAATAGTAATGCTGGGGCACCTGGGTGGCTCAGTTGGTTAGGTGACTGCCTTCGGCTCAGGTCATGATCCTGGAGTCCCGGGATCGAGTCCCGTGTCAGGCACCCTGCTCAGTGGGGAGTCTGCTTCTCCCTCTGACACCCCCCCCCATGCTCTCTCTCTCTATCTCATTCTCTCTCTCAAATAAATGAATAAAAAATCTTTAAAAAAAACAAAAATAATAATGCTTTAGAGTTGACTTGAAGATTAAATGATATGTTTTTAAGATACTTGGGGTAGTATGAGACCAAACCAGCTCCTCGGTAGCTGGCAGCTATCATTATTATGTTGGTTGATATAAATGTCAATTTGTATTTTGAAATATTAAATAAAATGTATTGGATTTTAGTAATCATAGAATAATAAAAATATGATTTAATGTATCTAAGTTACTTAGACTGACATATTAGTCTTTTTAGACCTATTTTCTTTCTTTTGTAACAGGCAAAATCTCAAATATTATCCAATGTATTGGATGTTGCCCATCGGTTTATCAAGGAAGTTAATCCAGATGAACCCAGAGGGGATAATCATTCTACAAAAGAGATTAGTAAAAGTCAGAATAAACCCAAATCTCTTCTTATACAGGGGAGCAACTCTGGGGTAAGCTAAGGAAAATAGAGTAGACATTTTCTGTCATACATGATCATGGAGACTGTCATTCATAGACTTAACTAGAGCTATAGAGTTTTGTAGATTATCACATTGTTGTTTAATATTTGAATTTTATTTTTTATGACTCAAAAACATCTTGACTGTAAAAATCCTTTTAAGGAGACTGCTTTTATTCCACTGAAGACTGTTATTTTTTTTATGAATGATTGTTTGACCATGTTGTTTTCTGGGCATTGCTACCATTTCAGGAAATGAATGAGTATTTGGAAGAAACAAGAAAAAAAAATAACACAATGCAATATAACAATTTTATTTTAGTCAGAATTTCAGAGAGGCTAAAAATACAAAACCTTGCCAAGTTTTTGTTTTGTTTTGTTTTTGTCTTTTTTGTTTTTTAGGTGACAGGCAATTTTACAGTTATTTAAAATTGGATTTACACCAAATTCTGGTCATTATTCAGATTGACTACTGATCCCAAGATGTGCTAGATAAGCTTTCATCAGCTCATGTCTATATTTTGTAATAGACTTGTTGTATTGGTCTTTAGCAAGAGACAAGCTTTCTCAAATTTTGACCTATGTAATTAATCCTCATTCTTTTAGATGCCACTCACCTTTCCACTGTAGTTCAGAAAGAGTAACAAACTTGGCCAAAAGTCACACAACTTGTTACTTGGTGACAGGGTCAAGCTTGAACTTCAGTTTCTTGAGTTCCTAACCCATGCTCACGGAGCAAAGAAGAAAACATGCATTATGCTCGTAGGACCTCTTTCCAGCAAAGAAACTGCTTGAGTTTTCCAGGAAAGTCAGTGTTTTTACATGGATTTCACTTTGTAATAGACCTGTTAAGGGTGATTGTGAAGAATCCCTGAATGAGTTATGGCCTCATTATTATAATAGTAATGTGTTGAAAACTGACTCTGTGCCAGACACGGTCCTACATATTTTACATGTATTATCTCTTTCTGTCCTCTCTTAATTTTTCCCTTCTTTTTCCAGATCAGAAAATTAGTGACAAAGATCAGTTTTTATAAATTGGCCAAGGTATGAATGAAACTTAGATTTGAACCCAGACTTTACGACTCCAAATTGTTTGCTTTTAGCTGCTATACAGAGGCTATGGTTTTAAGGGTTTCTCCTTCCTGCCTGCCATTTTATCTAATTTATCTTATCAATGAAAATAGTGATAAATCAACAGCTAACACTTGTTAAACACCTAACACTAGGCATTGTGCTTAATCTTTTAATTGCCTTATCATATCCAATAATCACAATAACCATGTAAGTTTCACATTATTATTACTCTGTTTAACAGATGACAAAGGCAGAGAGGAATTTAGTAACTAGCCCTACTAGAAAGCTTACACCTTTGCCTGTGCTTTTAATCCCTACAATAAATGCTGCCTTTTGTCCCCGTAGGTGACTGTATATGCTATATAGACCCTCTCTACTTCTTGTCCTAACTTAAAAACTGTTAATTCAGTGGTTTCATCCAGGAGTGCATATCAGAACCAACTGGTTCTGTTATGTTAAAGAAACATACATGACCAAATTCAGCCTCTCTTTGGGTGGGTCCACAGGTCCAGTGGTTTTAACAACTGCTAAGTCACTGTGGTGTGAGTATTCTGGTTGGATGTCACTGCTATCAACCCTTAGGTGAGCACCTGTATTCAATGCCAAAGAGCAGTGGCTCTCCAACTGTAATAAGTAAGCATCAGAAGCACTGGGTGAGTTTGTTAAAGTGTATCCTTTCTTCTAGAAAATCGGGATATTAAAACATATCTTGCAGGAATATCGTGTGGCTTAGAAGGATAATGAATATTATCCACTGGATTCCATGTGCTCTTTCAAGTTTCCTATTCCCTTCAGAACTGGGTAGTCATGTTAGGCTCTGAGTAGAAGTGGCATATGACAGTTCTGGGCTCAAACATTTAAAAGCCAGTGTCCAGTCCTCTGACTTTCCCTATCCTGCCACTGCTGTGAGGAAGCCAAGTATTCCAAAAGCATAGCTATAAAGGCAGATGTTTTATATCTCTGATTCATTGGTTGGAAAGGAGCTACTCTGGAGACCTGCTGGAATCACTGCATACTTAAACCATTTTGTATTAAGCACTGAGTTTTCAGTGCTTCTTCATTAGTGCAGCATACATACATACACACATCATATTGATTACTGGATACCTATAAATACCTTCCCACAAACTCAGCATTTTCTTTTCTTTCTTTTCTTTTCTTTTTTCTTTTCTTCTTTCTTTTTTTCTTTCTTTTCTTTCTTTCTTTCTTCTTTCTTTCTTTTCTTTTTCTTTCTTTCTTTCTTTCTTTCTTTCTTTCTTTCTTTCTTTCTTTCTTTCGAGAGAGAGAGCATGAGTGGAGGGGGGAAGGGCAAAGGAAGAAGGAGAGAGAAAATCTTAAGCAGGCTCCGTGCCCCATGCAGAGCCCAACATGGGATTCGATTCCATGACCTTGAGATCATGACCTGAGCCAAAACAAGAGTTGGCCACTTGACTGACTGAGCCACCCAGGTGCCCCTAAAACTTAGTATTTTCAAACGAAATCTACCTCTCCTCCAACGTCTGTAGATGTCTCTGTTGGTGACAGCCTATCTTCCTGCTTTTCAGGTGAGCCAAGCATCGCTATTTTCTGTAGTCCTCTCTCTTCTTCCTCTGCTTCCTCCGCATGTCCAGTTTGTTACCGTGTCTCATGCCGGCTACTGTCTAAAACGAGCTTGAATATTTGGTCCCTTCTATCCTTATTGCTCTTCCAAATACGGAAATTAGCTTTGTCCTGAAGTGCAAAAGGTTCATGACACAGAACGTGGATTTCGTTCTCTCCCTTTCTAGACGTCAGTAATAATTCCAGTTTTGTATGTATGTATTTCTTTACACAAATGTTAATGCTAAATGCTGCTCTGCAAATATGCTTTTTATACTTAACAATAGTTTTGATATTCATATAAGTACATTCTATAGCCTTCTCATTCTATATAGTGGTTATAAAACACCCTATTTATTAGATATGAAATGACTTTAAAATATACAAATTTAAATTTTAAAATTTGAAATTTCCACTGGCAACATTTACTTTACTTCAATCTTTTGCCAGTACAAACTAGAGTATAAAGAGTAATTTTGAAAAGTATTGTTTTGCGTACATGTGTGCATATACCTTGTGTGTGTGTGTGTGTGTGTGTATACACACACACGTCATGCGTTTGTAACGTTGTTAGATATTAGCAATTAGCTGTAATGTTTTAACTGGTGTCTTTGCATCCAAACTCACTATTCCTTAGTTTCTCTTTCTCCCACACTACTGTGTAGGAGCCTTCAGTGGCTTTGAGTTTCCATTATGTGTAAGTCTAATTTCCTCTGTATGATGGGCAGTATCCTTCATGATCGGGCCCAGATTATCTTTTACCCTTTATATTTTCTCATATCCCACTCTTCACGATTGCAGTGCAAACTACTAAGGGCTCCATGCCACTGTGCTGTTTGACTCCATGTTTTAGCATATATACCATTCCCTCTCTCTGTAATACTGTCCCTGCCACTTTTTGCCCATAGAATTCTTGTTTATCTGCATTAAATAACCTGTTTCTTGCACCTGTTCCTGTTGTGGACTTTTAAACCTATGTTTCTGTGGCCAGCAGCTGGCCCAGTGACTTCACATTCCCAGATGCTTTTGTTTATATTCAAAATTTTGGACACATATTTAATGCTCTTTTCTCAATTATACTCTAACAGTGCCTGTTTATTTTGCAATTAAGGGGTGAACATAGAGGATTCTACTTTTGTATCTAGAAGATAAACAATGGAGATTTAGCAATTTGATCAGTGTAGGTAAATCCACATCGCTAATTCAGCATTGGTGTGGACTTTATTTTGCTTTATTTTCCTAATTTGGCCGTTTTCTCTGATCTAGTGGATAACTGCCAAATCCTACCTTTATTTTCTTCTGTGCGTTCACAGTGGATCTATATTTTGTACTGAATTCATCCTTTCCTCTTATCATTATGCTGAGAAGCATGTGCTGCTTCATATGCATTAATTAATTTGTTCATTCACTCAGCTAACTTTTAATGAGCACCTACTTTGTGCCAGGTGCTGCTCTTGGCCCTGAGGAAAAGGACAAAACCCCTGATCTCATTATGTTCTAATGGGGAGAGACAGGCAATACACAAATAAACACATAGAATAAATTTACAGAGATGTTATTTGGAGAAAAATATAGCAGGTAAGGGAATGGAAGGTGGGGGGTAAAGGGGCTATATTTGTAGGGTCATGACCTACTCGCTGAGTAGGTGATGGTTGTACACAGACCACCTGAAATGAATGGAGTAGCTATGTGAAAATATGGAGGAGGGTCACTCCAGGTATTGGATATGGCTAGCGCAGGGCCCTCGTGTGAGAATGTGCTTCGTGGGCTCCCAGCACTACAAGAATGTAAATTTGGCTGGAGCCCAGTGAATGAAGAGGGGAATTGAAGGAAGTGAAGTAAAGAGATAGGGGAGTACAAGGTCTGTAGGGCCTGGTAGGTCCTAGTAGGAACTGGGGGTTTGACAGAGTAATTGGAAGGTTTTGAACATAGGAGTGACATGATTAGATTCATATATTAAAAAAACAAAACAAAAAAACCCCCTGCTCTCTCTGCTGAGCAGATTGGAGAAGTAGGGGGATTAGATTCACAACTATTGTCACTTCCCCTGGGGAACACTGGTGAACAACATGATGATAAATCCTCAGTCATGCAGGCTCTAGTTTTAATAATTTTTGAAGAGACCATTTCTAATTGTTGATACGGTTTTAAAGAAATCAGTAAAGCATATGCATAAGTACAACTTTAAAACATTCCACTTCTAATTTAAAAAGTAGTGTATGATTCAAAATGCCTAATAATTAATGCTACCTGTATTTTAAGATACGGGAAATTTAGTAAAGCACACTTAGATGCACTTTTAATTGGTTTAGGTAGAAGTTCCAACCACAAAAAGAGCAGAGTGTTCAAATTCAAAAGATAGGCTCTTCTGTGAAGGGTCATTTGATGAAGAAGCTTCTGCCCAGTCCTTTCAGGAAGCTTTAAATCAGTGGAGAACTGGACATCAAGATGACAACGAGAAACAGAACTTACATGCAGCAAAAGCAGGTACAGCTATTTTTATAAAATGAATGTTATAAAATGAAGCCGAATTTATTTTATTTATCTCCATTCTCTGTGAATATAAATGCAGTGTTCAAAAACTGTTAGCATTAGGATAACATTTTGCCTTAACTCCTCAAAGGAGCATTCACTGTACAACCAGGGGTAAGTGGTTTAATATTTATAGAACCTTGACTTGAGCACTGGGGAGATTTGTGTTTGTCTCCAATGTAAATTCAGACTGTCAAATGAATGGAGAATTGGATGCTTTCAGCTCCCCCGCTCCTGGCAGAAAATTTTTATCGGGACAACTGTTCCTTTATTGAACTGTATTTATACATAAAACAAGAGGATCTGTGAGATAGAAAAGTAAAGAACTTTTTTGTGTCTCGAAAAAATACAGTTCAAGGACTGCTATGAACTTAAGGGGGAGAATTGATTTTTTTTTTTTTCCTGTCCAAAGGGATATTTCTTGTTTTTACTTTTCCTTTATGATTTTTGCACCCATATTCTGGACATTGAAGATTGGATGACTGAGGCACATACACTCTCTGTTTTATGTTTCCCAGAATCTCTTGAGGTATATCATCCTTTTAAAACTATTTGATTTATTAATTTTATTACTCAGAATCTTGTAGAGACTTCCAATTGCTTTTCACTGAAAATAAAATGTGAGATAATAAATTTCAATCATGTATCTTTATTGACAGCATCCAATTTTATTATTTTACTTCATTTTTTTCCAGCGCAGGAAATCTCCTGATTATTCATTCTTTATAACAGTATGATTCCTAACGTCAAGGTATCACATGCCATCTTCCAATTGGAATTGGATTTTTTACTAAATAATGTTCTCTTTGAAATATTTTTCCCTACCCTTGTTCATGTTACATCAGTTTCCTTAATATTTCCAAGATTTTATTTATATACTCTCTTTGTAGCATGTATCTTAATATAATTCTCATTCACTATGTTATTTTATGTGCTTTCTATTTGAACTTTCAAATTTTGATGTATTTTTTACTTTTCTACTCTGAAAAGGAAAAATCTATAAAAATACCTTTTGATTGTCTACTTTGAAAGACAGAGTGTTTAAAATAGTAAAGGGACTGATTTGATAAATCAGATAAGGTCAGGGAAGAAAAAAATTTGTTTTTCATAGTGGAGATAACTATATTATAAGAATAATATAATGATTATAATACATGATTTTGTATAACAAAAAGTTAGCCAGAAGAAAATGAAAATAACCTAATTCAACCATGTAGAGATAATCAATGTTAATGTGTTGGTACATGTTTTTCAATAGACACAGTTGCACAAACACAAGCATAAATGGAGTGACACTATACAAGCTATTTGTAACATTTTTGCTTAGATTCTGTCATGGACAACTTTCCATATAAATACAGGTATATATTATCATTTGTAGCTGTTGCATAATACTCTGTATGCCACGATTTACTTAATCAGAATTTTATTGATGGATATTTTGTTTCTGATTCTCAGTATGGTAAAATAAGTCATAATGACTATCTTAGCTCTTTGTGTACTTGTACAATTACCTTAAAATAAATTTTTAAAAGTAGAAATGTTGTGTCAGTGGTTGCTGAAGAGAAATAATTAAGATGAGGACTTCTGTTGAGATAATATATGATTTTTTTTGCCCCAAAGTATTACATATATATGACTGTGTGTGTACCATATGTATATTTTTGTCAATATTTTTCTTTTTCTAACATATTAAGTAGATACAAAAGAACATTAACAAAATTTGTATGGATTCTGGAGAAAATCAAAGCAGTAAGCTCCTGGTCTCTCTCTTCTTTCCCCCTCTCTAAGAGATTGTCACTAACCTAGATTTTGTATTTTTTCATTGTTTAAAAAATTTCCTTGTAGTTTACTGCATGTGTTTATCTCTAAACAATACGTTGTTAAATTTGCCTGTATTTGAACATTATGTAAGTGGAAAGCTAGTGTATGTATTCTTTTGCAACCTATTTTACTCACTATTATACTGAGATTTACCCATGAAGATGTACATAGTTGTATTTTATTCATTTTTAACTGCTTAATAGTCTTCTGTTATATGACAATACCACCATTTACCTGTTTAAATGTTGGTGGGTTTGGAGGTTGATTCCCATTTTGCCATTACAAACAATGCTGGTATGAATATTTCTGTATAGGTCTCCGGTATGCATATGCACACATTTCTAGGATATCTTTTCCTGGGTGTGGAATAGCTGGGTCATAGGCTGTGTATGTCTTTGACTATACTAGATAAAACTGAAGTACTTACCAAAGTATTTGTATCAGTTGATACTCCCACCTGCAGTAGACAAGAGGTTTGGTGGCCTCCCATTGTCATCAATGCTTTGTCAGATTTTAAAATTTTTTCTGCTCTGATAGAGATGAAATGGCCTATTTACTTTGTGTAACTCATTACAAATGATATTGAGTATCTTTTTATATGCTTCTTGGCCATTTAGCTTAGTAACATGATTTGAATTTTCAAGTTTTCTAGTTATTTCTGTTACTGGTTTCTTTTTTTTCTTTTTAAAGATTTTATTTTTTTATTTGACAGAGAGCATGAGTAGGGGGAGGGGTAAGGGGGGAGGGAGAGGGAGAAGCAGACTCCCCACTGAGGAAGGAGCCTGACACACAGGGCTCAACCCCAGGACTTTGGAATCATGACCTGAGCTGAAGGCAGATGCTTAACCAACTGAGCTCCCCAGGCGCCCCTCTGTTATTGATTTCTAACTTGATTTCATTTTAAGTGAACTCCAAAGGCCCATTTCCTTCAGTGTGAAAGGCAAGTACTTACAATGGCCTAGAAGGTTCAATGGAATTTGAAGTCCATTATCTCTGTGATCTCACCTCCTGTTATTCATCTCCTGGCTTGTTCTGTTTCAGCTACACTGACTGCCTGGCTGTTCCTCCAACACCTCCTCAAACACATCAAAACATATGTTCACCTTAAGACTTTGGCACTGTCTATTGAGAAAAACACCCACCATCCCATCAGTATGAATACTGGGGCGTCTCACACAAATTCTCACAAAAGATAGCCAGAGACCCATGAAACAAGGGAGCAAACCGAAACCCAAGTTAAGTAGCTTATGTGGCACTTTTCAGGGAGACATGTTTCATAGATCCATGTGTCCTAGATTTGTTTTCTATAAGCAATTGTAAATAAGGGCTATCCTGTTAAATGCATTAAACAGGTAAGAGTCTGCTTCCATTAATATCATTGATCTATTTGCCAGAAGTTCCAGTTATTAACATATTCACAAGCAAATTAACCCAGATCATCTGCCATCTTTATTTCCCGGGGATGTACCGTTGGTAACGGGAGAAGAGTGAATCACAGGCCAGCTGCTTTACTTTCTTCCTCCTCATCACCTGATAGATCTGGGGGTTATCTCTCAAGCAGAGCAGCTCTGCTTTATGACTAGACAGAGAAAAAAGTGAGTCCTCATTTTTAGTTTCAGCTTTCCTATCAAGAAATATTTTGTTTTGCGCTGGCAAGGAGGGCCCATGGTGGAGGGATCTCCTTTTGCTCACATCTCCTTAACTCCTGTTCTTTCAGTTTAGTGCATTCTGGAGGTGTTTCTGAGAACTTCCTCCAATTGCTTTCTTTGACACAGCTCTACTTTTTGGGAAGAATAGGGGTAGTGTGACTGAAATTCTTTTGGTTTCTTTCTATTGCCAGCATTTGACTGTTCTGGAAGCTATTCATTAAAGGCTGTGTGGTATAAAGTTGGAACTATCCTCTAGTTTCAGTCTTCTAAAATAATTTTTCTCTTCTTTACTACTTCCCTTTCTTCTCCTTCAGCAGTTTTTCTCCTCCTGTGATGGTCAGTTTGGAGAGAGGGATAGTATCCAAGGTGGAGAGACTGGTAATCCTGGATTTACACTGCTTTTTTTCCCAGAAATCTCCATCAGTTTTAAATATCTCTGAATAGTGGTTTTAATTTAGTAGTACTTCAGAAACATCTTAAGCATCTGGAAGTGAATTGCCATGTAGATATAAATTCATGAGGACAGTTGTTTCCTCCAGGTGCCATTCTGAGTTATTTATTTTCTGTTTCCCATAATGTGTAAATATTACTGTCAGTGGCTATGATACATACCTTTATGTGTGTGTGCATTTATAGAATATATAATGAATCTGTTTGTATTTATCATTGAAAAGAATTGGTTGCTTTTAAAAACCTTATGAATCATAAGATTCTTTCATTTCAAGGGATTATTGAAGAAAACTGTCTATACAGTCATTTAATAAATCACTAATATTTAACACTTTTGCATTAATTAAGCCTAGAACTATTGATTGCATAGATAAATATCAAAGCATATTTGCTTCAAAAATGGTGAGTTTTGTATCTTGAGAGATGTAATTTATAGATAAATTTACATTAATTTTGCACATTATATTTATTTTTATAGACTCGTTGGAAGAATGTGAAGTACAAACTAATCTGAAAATTTGGAGGGAACCACTCAATATTGAATTTAAAGAAGACAGTCTATCCTATTTGGAAAAATTATGGCTTAAAAAACACAGAAGGTATTTTCTGAAGTTTTGCATTATTAATAAGAAATATAAAAGCTATTTATGTTCTTGGCTTGTGTGACATGCTTTTTTGTAGCAATTTTATATGTGTGCTTCACACTTGCATAAAAGCAATATTAAATCCCTGTGAAACTTCTACTGTTCTAATAAGAATTTAAATTTTATTTATGTATGTGATGCACCATTAATTTAGAGTTTGCTAGGAGAAATGCAAATGTGTATGTGAGAAAAAGGCACAAATATGGTATAGAATTTAAGAATAATAGCAAAAATAATGTGATAAATGAAAGATTACTTTGGAAAGGTATTGCTCTCATTCTTTTTACATTAGAATAAACTTTTGAGGCTGTACTTTTCAGAATCTACTTTTACGTGAATTAGACCTTCAGTATTACAGTTTTATTAATAATATTCAGTTATTTTATTCAAAGACTATATCATTAGATGTGCCATTTCATAAATTGTTTAACAGCTAAACTATTAAATATCAGACCAGAATTATGACTGAGTACATGTTAGTGTCATTCACAATTCTATGATCAAATCGGGTCTGTATTGGGAGTTACCTTTAAAGGCTCACTTTGCCCTATAGCAGTACTGCTTACACTTTATTGGGCTTGTGAATCACTGGCAAAATACAGATTCTTCTTCAGTAGGTCTGGGTGGGACCTGACACTCTGCCTTTTTGAATTTCTAACAGCTCCCAGCTGATACTTAATGTGGGTAGTTCTGGTTTCTGAACTGCATTTTGAGGAGCAATGTGTTGGAGGACCTGCCTAGAATGTACCTGAGGAATTGTCATCATCAAGCCCTTGCTTCGCCTTCAGTCATATAAAACTGTCCCCTGAGATGGCCCATTTCGTCTTTGGAACTTTTTGCCTGCTGTAATATCTCCTAGTGAGCTGTAATTTGTGTCTGACTGGTTTCTAAACATGGTCTCAACTCTACCAATTAAGCCAGTATAGAGCAAGTTGAATTCTTCCTCTCCATGGCATTCCTTTAGATTTTTGAAGTCCGCCCTCATATCTTCCTTGAAGCTTCTGTTTCACAGGTTACTATCTACTCCCGTGCCCCTTTAACTGGTTTTCATGTGGCAGATTTAAGTTGTTTTTTTTTTTTTTTAATTTTGAAATAAGGCATACCCGAAGAGTTATAGAACAGTATTAAGATTTCCCACGTATCATTCCTTCAGCTTTCCGTAATGGCCACATCTTACATAACCATAATGCATGTATCAAAACCAAGAAGTTAACATTGGTACGATATTATTAACTAAACTACGGACTTTATTTGGATTTCACCAGTTTTTCCACTGTTGTCCTTATAACACTTAAGGATCCAATTCAGGATCCCACATTGCTTTTTTTTTTTTTTTTAAAGATTTTATTTATTTATTTGACAGAGAGAGCAAGAGAGTACAAGCAGGGGCAACAGTAGAAGGAGAGGGAGAAGCAGACGCCCCGCTGAGCAGGGAGCCCGATGTGGGTCTCAATCCCAGGACCCTGGGATCATGACCTGAGCTAAAGGCAAACGCTTAACCATCTGAGCCACCCACGCCTCCCTTTTTTTTTTTTTTTTTTTAATCATAGCTCCTTATCCATTAACACTTCCTCAGTCTTTCCTTGTTTTTCCAGACCCTGACATTTTTCAAGAGTACTTGCCAGGTGTTTTATAGAACATACTCAACTTGGATCTGTTTTTTTTTTTTTTTTTTCATAATTAGAGTGAGGTTGTGCATTTTGAGGAAGGATAACGCAGAGAGGACGATGTGCCCTTCTCTGTGTGGTGTCACAGGATCATCCTGTCAGTGTATCTTATTACCAGGGCGTTAATCTTGAGCCCGTGGTTAATGCGGTACTCACCGAGTTTCTCCACTGCACACTCACTCTTTTCCCTTTGTAAATCATGTCTTGGGCTGTTACACAGAGTACCATAGACCAGGTAGCTTATGAGCACAAACATTCATGTTTCATTTTTTAAGGATGGGAAGTCCAAGATAAAGGTGCCAGCAGATTTGGTGTCTGGAGAGAGCCAGCTCCTTGGTTCACAGATAGACATCTTATTACTGCGTCCTCACATGGTAGAAGGGGCAAGGGAGCTCTCTCAAGTCTCTTTTATAAGGGCCCTAACCCCATTCATGAGGGCTCTATCCTCATGACCCCATCACCTTCCAAAGGCTCACCTCATACTCTCACTTTGGGATTAGGATTGCAACATATGAACCATTCCGAACAGAAATTTTTTCCCTGGCCCCTGTAAGGTTCATGAATCTCTCACATGCAAAATATATTCATTCCATCCTAAGAGCCCCCAAAGTTTCACTTCTTCTAGCTATCAACTCAAGTCTAAAGTCCAAAGCCTCATCTAAATATCATCTAAATCAGATATGGGTAAGATTCAATGTGTGATTCATTCTGAGGCAAATTGCTCTCTGTGAACCTATGAAATCAAACATTTTATGTGCTTCTAAAATATAATGGTGGGACAGGCATGAGATAAATATTTCCATTCCAAAAGAGAGAAATAGGAAAGAAGAAAGGAGTAGCAGGTTCTAAGCAAGTCTGAAACCCAACAGGGCAAATTCTATAAAACCTTAAGTCTTGACAATTATCCTTTCCATTGATGCTCTGCACTCCAAGGCCCACTGGGATGGAGGCCCCACCTTCCAGACACACTAGAGCGGGGGTCCTGCCTTCCAGACACACTAAGGCAATGCCCCCACAGCTATGCTGGGCTGGGGCTAGGCTCCCAAGACTTTGGGTGGCTCTGCTCCCATGGCTTTGGGTGGTCCCATTCCTATGATGGCTCTGTATGGGCTCACATCCTGCGACTCCCTTGGGCTAGAATCATGAGCTTTTCTAATTTGGGGTTATAGGGGCTTCCTTGCCCCCATAGTTTCACCAGGCATTGCCCCAGCAGGTGCTCTCTGCTGTGTGGCCTGGAGCTTTCTGTGCCTGCAATTGGAGGGATAGCCCTGATGATTTTTGAATTGCCTTTGGAGGTAATTTTTCCATTGTCTCTGATAAAAGTCATGACTTCTATTTAGATGGTTCTGATTAATCTCCTTATCAGATGACCCTTTGGCCATTTACTTCTTGTTCTTTCCTGAATAGGCCCTCTCATTCTTTTTCAATATATATATTCTGAGAATATCCCAAATATTTCAGTTTTGCTTATATTTTGATTAGTAATTTTGTCTTTAAATCATTTCTCCTTGCTTGCATTTTACTATGAGCAATCAAGAGAAACCAAGCCTCTCCTTCAACACTTTGTTTAGAAATTGCCTGAGCCACGGAACTAATTTCATCACTCGTAAGTTCTACCTTAAATAAAACACCAGGACGTAGACACAATTCAGCCAAGTTCTTTGCCACTTTGTTAATGAAAATTGCCTTTCCTCCAGTATGCAATAATATGTTCCTTATTTCCATTTGCTACCTCAGCAGAATGGTGCTTATCATTCATATTTCTACTGATGCTTTGTTCAGGATTACTTAGGTATTCTGTAGGAAGATTGAGGCTTTTCCTCAGTTCTCCTCTTTTTGAGTCCTCACCAGAATTGTCTTTAAAAGTTCTTTCATAACAGTATAGTTCTTTTCTAGTACGAACTTTAAACCTTTCAGCCTCTACCCATCAGTGAGTTCCAAGGCTGCTTCTACATTTTTAGCAGCACCAGACTTCTGGTACCAATTTCTGTCTTTGTCCATTTGGGATGTTGTAACCGAATAACATAAACTGGGTGCCGTGCAAACAACAAACAGTTATTTCTCAGAGTTCTGGAGGTTGGAAGTCCAAGATCAAGATACTGGCAGACTCAGGGACACCTGGGTGGCTGTCAGTTAAGGATCTGCCTTCGGCTCAGGTCATGATCCCAGGGGTCCTGGGATAGAGCCCCGCATCGGGCTCCTTGCTCAGTGGGAAGCCTGCTTCTCCCTCTGCCTGCTGTTCCCCCTGTTTGTGCTCTCTCTCTCTCTGACAAATAAATAAAATAAAATCTTAAAAAAAAAAAAAAGATACTGGCAGACTCAGAGTCTAGTGATGGCCTGCCTCCTTGTTCATAGAAGGCTGTATTTTTGCTGTGTCCTCACATTGCTCTTTTGGGCCTCTCCTGTAAGGGCATCAGTCCCACATGGGGGCTATACCTTCATGACCTAATCACCTCCCAAAGACCCCCATCTCTTAATGCCATCACATTGGTGTTAGGATCTCAACATATGAATTTTGGGAGGAGACATATTCACATCATAGTAACTAATAAAGATTTTAGGGGAGATACCTTGAGATGATACAAAATCCTGTTTTTCCTTAAACTTTACTAATTTTAGTATATCAGTGGATTTTGCCAGAAGCAGAATAGCTGGGGATTTTCTATTTCCTTCATTTCTTCTATACTTATTAATTAGAATCCTTCAAGGAAGAATATCCCTTCCCCCTTTCATTTATTTATTCAGTTGTTTATTTGTGTAGACTCCAGAATATGTGTTTTATTTTTTGGATTAATATCCCATACTATTGTTATTTATTTTGTGACTCAGATGGTTCTTGTCTTGACCATCGAGAGAGCTGATTTAGGTTGACTCCTCTCTGCTTTCAATGTGGTCTCATCCTTTTCTGTTTCTTGGTTGGTTTGCTTGTAACATCTCTTCATTTTTCTGGCACCCAAGATGCATTTCCATGCCCTAGCGCAGAAATAATTTTTCCGAATAATCTTGGTTTCTTTTTTTTGGAAAATGGTATTCAGAAACCAAGATCTGGATTATAAGTATGCTCATGGCTACAAAGGTACCACAGAGCCTAGGTCTTCTCAGAGAACATCTAGGAAATATACGTATGTATACTTACCCACTATAAACACAGCCAAATTTATTTCTGTATCTATCTACCTGAGTATCTGTTAAAGTAAACATGAGTGTACTCATACCTCTGACTCCAAACCAGCGTCATGTTCTCCCTTTGCTTATTTGTAGTTTCTTTCACTACAGTGAAACAAGCATAAACTTGTTTACAATTCTGTGGGTTTTTACAAATGCCTGGAGTCAAGTGTTCACCGTAGTACCAAACAGCTCAATTCCATTGCTCCCAAATTCCCTTTTTCTTCCCCTTTGTACTCAACCCTTCTTCCCCAACACATGGCAACCATCAGTCTGTTTCCATCCATACACATTTGCCTTTTTCTGAATATCCCGTAAATGATACCACTCTATATGTAGCCTTTTGTGTCCTTTCCTTAAGAAAATGCATTGAAGAGTCATCTGTGTTCTTCAGTGAATCGAAATCCATTCTTTTTTATTGTGGTGCACAGTTTATCCATTAATATCCATTATCCTGATGCACAGTTTATCCATTAGCCTGTTGAAGAACATCCTGCTGATTTCTAGTTTTTGGCAATTATGACTAAATCCGTTAGAAACATTTGCAAATACATTTTTGTTTGAATATAATTCTTCATTCCCTGGGTAAATACCTGGGACTGGGATGGCGAGATCATATGGTAAGTGGATGTTTAGGAGAAACTGTCAGACCATTTCTGCAAAGCACCAGATGCATAATCTTGACTTCTGAGAATTCCTGTGTTTTGTTGCCTTCTATACGAGATGGGCCATGCAAACCTCGTTAATTGGGTGATAGATGTGACAGCCAGAACATGCTACATTCATATTGTGGGAGCAGATTTTATCACCCTACTGGCTTGGTGAAAGTTTAGAACGAGGTCTTTTGGTTCCCTTAGTACCTATCAAATTAGTACTTTTTTAAAAAGATTTATTTGAGAGAGAAAGAGAGAGAGCGAGCGAGCAAGAGAGAGAGAGAGAACGCATGAGTGGAGGGAGGGGCAAAGGGAGAGGGAAAAAAGAGAATCCTCAAGCAGATTCCCTGCTAAGCATGGAGCCTGATGCAGGGCTCGATCCCAGGACCCTGAGGTCATGACCTGAGCTGAAACCAAGAGTTGGCCACTTAATCAACTGAGCCACCCAGGGGTCCCCATAAATTAGCTTTTTAAATAAGGTAGCGTGTTTCATGGACTCCGTGCAGCTTCTGCAAGAACGCTGACTTCTATTTTGATTTTCATCCTAAACGAGAAATAGTAGGACATACAATTGAAAAATCCTGTGTGGGGCGCCTGGGTGGCTCAGTCAGTTAAGCGCCTGCCTTCGGCTCAGGTCCTGATCCCAGGGTGCTGGGATGGAGTCCTGCATCCTGCTGCCTGCTCAGCAGGGAGTCCGCTTCTCCCTCTCCCTATGCTCCTCCGGCTGCTTGTGCTCTCTCGCCCTCTCTCTCTCAAAAAAATAAATGGAATCTTAAGAAAAAGTAAAATCTTGTGTGATGTTAATTTGATTTACAGAATTGTTTTAGTAGATTAAGATTCTGTTATACAATCACACCTTTCTTCTGTGAATGAGAGGCATAGTTTTGGTTTTGTCATTAATTTTGTATACTCACTCATTTGTGAAATAAATCAAGATCTTGTCTGGGAAAATTTCAGATAATATATTTTAGTCTTTTAATTGCTTCTTTCTTGTTTTGTAGAACTCCACAGGAGCAACTTCGAAACATGCTACCGGATACATTCATACCTCAATGTAAAACTGCTAGTGAGGCACAGTGTTCCCAGAATGAAAGTGATGAAGATAGTGATGGTTAGTTCAGACTTGATTAGATATTTTCTAATTTATTATTTCAAATTTTACACACTAAGCATTAGTCAGCATCTGCTTTTTTTTTTTTTTACTATATTATCCTCAACTAGACTATGCACCCTTTGTCTCCTCCTCTTCCCATTCCATAGATTTACTTTTCCTTAAATTAAATCATTTATTTAAACATTGAATGTTAAGAAAATCTGTGTCTTAACTTGAGGTGGGGGAATTGGTAGCATTTACATATTAGTGTGGAAGCACAAGAGAACATTATTCTTTTATTGTTGACCATGTTATTTGAAGATAGAGAATTATCAGGTGATATCAGGTATATTCTTTGATATTATTTGCTAATCTAATTTCCTAGTTGAGGAGACCAAAGTACAACACCCAGAGCTTTTTCTGCCAGTAGAAGAATTAAACATAGAGAGACCTGAGCCATCTCTAAAAATAGTTGAACTGGATGATGTAAGTGCATAATGACTACTCTATTACTTAACAAACAAGAAATTCATAACATATAATTACAACTACATATTGTTTTCAACAAGACTTTTTTCATAATTCAAATTTGTTAGGAAGGAAATTTATGAGAGTTTGAATTAAATATGTTGAAAGGAATAAAACAGTATTATTTTTAATGTAGGCAGTAAATTTGTGAGCTGTACTGATACTGTGCCATTTTTGGAAGCATGTAGTGTGGGAAATGTACTACTTTTAACTTGTAGAAATGTAGGTTAGTGTTTGTTTTATTTAGGGCTTTATGTTATCAGTCTTTTTAAACAGAGATTAGTCTCCTAATATGTTATCTATTTAATATAATTTGTATACATGTAGTTTCTTGAATGTCATCTAATATTATTTTCTATTTAAAGGAAAAATAGTACTAGGATTTAAGGAATGTAGGATAATAATAACTTGAATACAAACCTCTAGAAGACGCAAAGTAGAATCAACTGGAGCTTGAGCCAATCAGGAGTAGAGCTTATGCTGAAGGTTTAAGTTTTGACAAACTCAGCACATTTCTGACTTTCTAGTCATCTAGTACCTGAGTGTACTGCTTGTCCTCAATATTTCTGTCCCTGTGATTGTTACAGAAAAAGACTAGAATGGAAGAAGTATCCCTTTAAATACTACTTTCTTCTTTAGGTAATAGCTTCTGCTCTGTGGGTGTGTGCCTAGAAACATTTTAATTCTCCTCTGGATAAGCTTAAGATATTGAACAAATAGGCACACATGCTTACATATGTGTGTGTGTGCTTGTCATTATTTTGTTGATGCACAGAGTAAGCTTATAACATGCTGTCCAGAGAACTAAAAACATTTCAGTCACTAGCCTACTTGGCACTCAGTAGTTACATAATAAAACAGCTGTTAGTGTTATTTCTAGGTGTGATAGAAGTGATAAAATGGCTGACATAGCAAATGCCCTCAACAAATAGTTGTTGAATTTGTTTAGATCTTCTAGAACTAATGTTCTACAGCACACAGCCAGAAAGCTAATGACATTATTTGTAGGAAGAAAATTCTCTAAATATTGCATACAAGCTAGTTGGTTAGTGTACAATACATTTATTGGACATACTAATATTATACTACATGCATTTAATAAGACTTATGAAGAGGAATTTGAAGAACCAGGAGACATAGTTCCCTACAAAGTTGAGTTAGCAGATGCAGACAGTCAACGAAGGTAAGCTGTTTCTAATTCACTTTTGATGCTTATTAAAAACCTACCCCCCAAAATCAACTATCTCTTTAAATGAGAAATTCATGATGTAAAAAACATGTGACTTCAGTGTTAGAATATATTTTACTAAAGCCATGTTTAAATTTGTGTACAGTATTGCTAATATTTGCCAACATTCAATAATTAGAAGAGTGACTATAATGATATGTTTATATTTTTACCTAATAACTGGATTACTTAATAGTTACTTCTGATTTTAACGTTATCATTTGAAATGGCTTACCAAGGACGACATATGTCATATGAGCTTTCTTCTTTTCTCCAAAGATACTCTTTGGATTTTTCATATTTTAGTTTGCTATCAACCCTAAATAAAAACAGATGTATTGGGCGCCTGGGTGGCTCAGTTGGTTAAGCGACTGCCTTCGGCTCAGGTCATGATCCTGGAGTCCCAGGATCGAGTCCCGCATCAGGCTCCCTGCTCGGCAGGGAGTCTGCTTCTCCCTCTGACCCTCTTCCCTCTTGTGCTCTCTGTCTCTCATTCTCTCTCTCTCTCAAATAAATAAATAAAATCTTATATAAAAAAAAAAAACAACAGATGTATTAATGATTAGTTTGAGAGACAAAAAGAGCTCCCAAACTATAGATAACTTATTAGGTAGATTTTCCTGTGTGATAAATAAGTGAAGTATTATGGTTCACTTTGTAACTTTTCTTAGAATTTTGTCATTTCCAAGTGAAAAATAGTATCTAGCTGTATCTGTTAGCAATGATAAGAGGACTCCAGGTCTGCTTTGCTGTTGAAACTTTAGCTAGGGTTTCATGTGTTTTGACTACAAAGTATTGAATTGGGTAAAGAGCAGAGTGAAGTTCCTATTAGGTAGCCCCTACACCAATTTTTTGTTTATATGTTTAGATCAACTTAGGCCCTATCAGTAGTTTGGAACAGCAGTGGGCCTAAGGGATGCCCCTGGACCTGAAAAGCCCCATGTTTGGACACATAGACCCAGATACCTAGCAGCAAATGTGCTTTTGGCAGGAGATAACCTTTTAGTCAGTAGATAAGAGATTTGTAAGGACTACTGTATTCCTAAGGAAATGAATGACATATCTGCTCTCTAGTTTGATTCTTTTATATATCTTATCACAAGTCCTGCTTTGACCTCCTTGTAGGGTGTTACAGAAGGCAGAGAAAGTTACTGATCATGGTTTGGCACTGGTTTTGCAGCTTGGGTTTGGAGGTGCCTGTAGAGTTTCTTCTTTTCTTTCTTTCTTTTTTTTTTAAGATTTTATTTATTTGTCAGAGAGAGAGAGAAAGAGAGAACACAAGCAGGGGGAGCGGCCGGCAGAGGGAGAAGCAGGCTCCCCTCTGAGCAAGGAGTCAGATGCGGGACTCTATCCCAGGACCCTGGGATCATGACCCAAGCAGAAGGCAGATGCTTAACGGACTGAGCCACCCAGTCACCCCGAGTTTCTTCTTTTCTAAGAAGAACTGTAAAGAATCATAAGTGACACAGGAGCATAATCCAGTTTTTATGGTGGTACTATGTAAAGCTTACATAAATATTGGGTATTATTAAATATATTATTCAATTCATAGAAAATGTTATTTAAATTGTACATATGCTAGTATATAGTAACCATCATTAAAAATTGAAAATAAATATCACATATGGCTTTTTGACTCTGATAGTTCATTGATAAACAAATAAAAAGTTTATTTAAGTAATAAAACCCTGATTTTATCAGACTTCAATGAGATTTAAAGGTAACTTTCCATTTTTAGAAGAAAGAATATAAAGAACCAAACTTATTTCAGAATATTTTTTTAAAAGAAGTTTTCAATTGACTTTGTTCAGTTAAATCAGATTTGACCCAGTTGCCTCTTTCTTTAAAATCCACAAAACTATTTAGTTACTTGTGGTTTAGAATGTGCCCACAGTAAGGTTAAAAAAATATTGACTTAATATGAATAACCCTATTCCCTAAAGGGTTTACTGTATTTGTTTTAATAAAATGGGACTTTTTACTTTCTTTCAACTCAATATCATTTCTTTCAACTCTTCTCTTTTGGTTATCCCGAAACATGGAAGGTACACATTTCATGATTATCAGAATACTTTTCTATATGAAACTGACATCCATCAACATCATGTTTTCACCAAGGGAAAAACAGACCTCTTACATCTTCATCTGAACACCAGCTCTTCTTACTGTAAAAATAACTCAAAAGGTAACTTTTTTTTTCTTGTGGATTAATATCATTAACAATGAATATTGGTAAGTTAATAAAACCAGTAGGTATTGCAGTATGTAAAAGCTTTACCTATTAAGCTATTCACTTTAAACCCAGAAAATTTAGTACTTAGAAAAACTTGGTTGAAAATATATAATTTTCTAGCAAATACCCTTTTCAGTCAATGGGCAACTGTGTTTGTATTCAGAAGAAAAGGAGCCAATGTTTGTTGGTCTCTCTAATAGTTATTATGGACTGAGCTAGCATTTAAAAGGTTACATGGGTGGGCTTTTAGTGAAGAAAATCTAATTGGCACCCTGTTGCCCTCCCTTGCATTAAATCTTCTCCCAAAATATTCAAATTTAATGTAAAGTTTCACATAAGTGATAAAACCAAACCAAAACAAATCATCGTGTTTTTATATCTACATTGTTATTACTAGTAGTTTTCTTAGAATTTATAGATTAGAATGCTGTGTGCAAATGTCTGGTTTCAATTTCCAGGTGGTAAGAGCACCATTTAAAGACAGTCACAATAAGTTATCTTGGTCTGGGAGTCAAATTTCATTTCCATTTCTGCCTTAAATCATTGTGACCTTGAACATGTCACTTGCTTTCTTGGATTGCATTTTCCTAAACTAAAACATAGGAACTAGATTGTTTCTAATCTGCCTTTCAAATATTATTTTTAATCTATTTAGGATTTTCAGAAAAACTAATAAACATATCTTATATGAAGGATATGAGAGATACTTGAGAGTGTTATTTAAACTAACTAGTTATAAAACTGATGATTACCTTCTGATCGGGTAGTAGATGGTAGAGAACCATTTGTGGTAACCCTGCTGGTCTTGACATCTTAAACTAATAAGCCTCTAAATTATTATGACCAATTATGAACTATATCCACAAGGATTTTAGGACTTTACAGGGCTCCCAAAAGATATTTTCTTACCTACCTGGAGCATGGTGTTCCATTTGCCTTTAGGAAAATGCTGAATATAAATAAATACCCATTAAGTGTTACTTTAAAGATACTTGATTTATGTAAATAGACTTTATTTTTTAGAGCAGTTTTAGGTTCACAGCAAAACTGGGCAGGGAATACAGATTGTTCCCATATACATTTTGCCTTCACAAACTCATAGTTCCTCCCACTATCAGCATCCCAAACCAGAGTAGTACATTTGTTACAATCAAACATAACGTTGATACACTGTTATCACTCAAAGTCCATAGTTCACATTAGGGTTCACACTTGGTATTGTACATTCTGTGGGTTTGGACAAATTTATAATGACATGTATCCACCATTATAGTATCGTAAGAAATCATTATAGTGCCCTAAAAATACTCTGTGCCCTGCCTTTTTATGTTACCTCCCTCCCTCCGAACTCCTGGCAACCACTGATCTTTTTACTTAATAGTTTAGCCTTTTCTAGAATGTCATGTAGCTGGAATGATACAGTATGGAATCTTTTCATATTGGCTTTTTTCACCTAATATGCACTTAAAGGTGACTCCGTGTCTTTTCATGGCTTGATAGCTCCTTTTTTTTTTTAGTACTGAATAATATTTTATTGTCTGGATGTATCACAATTTATTTATACATTCACTTATTAAAGGACAACTTGGTTGATTCTGAGTTTTGGCAATTATGAATAAAGCTGCTATAAACATCCATGTATACTTGAACATAACTTTTCAACTCATTTGGGTAAATCCCAAGGATTGCAATTGTTAGATCACATGGTTAAATTATGTTTAGTTTTGTAAGAAATCACCAAACTGTCTTCCAAAGTAGCTGTACCATTTTGCATTCTCACCAGCAATGAATGAGACTTCCGGTTCACCACATCCTTGCCAGCATTTGGTATTGTCAGTGTTTCTCGGATTTTTGTCATTCCAAAAATTGTTGAGTGGATTTCATTGTTGTTTTAACTTGCAAGTCCCTAATAACATATGATGTTGAACACTTTTTCATATGCTTATTTGCCATCTATACCTTCTTTGATGAAGTGTCTATTAAGATTGTTGACCCATTTTTTAATTGAGCTCTCCATTTTCTTACTGTTGAGGTTTTAGATCTTTTAATATTTTGGATAACAGTACTTTATCAGATATGTGTTTTGCAAATATTTTCCCTAAGTCTATGGCTTGTCTTCTCATTCTCTTGACAGTGTCTTTTACAGAACAGATTTTTAATTTTAATGACATTCAGCTTATCAATTATTTATTTCATGCATCTTGCCCTTGGTGTGGGTCTTAAAATGTCATCACCATACCCAAGATCATCTAGATTTTTATGTTCTAAGGGTTTTATAGTTTTGCATTTCACATTTAGGTCTATCATTCTTTTGAGTTAATTTTTTTTGACGGGTGGAGGGTCTGTGTCCAGATTAATTTGGGACATGTGGATGTCCAGCTCTAGGTACCATTTGTTGAAAGACTGTCTTTTCTCCATCATTTTGTCTTTGCTGTTTGGCAAAGATCAGCCGACTATATTTATGTGGAACTATCTATAGAGTCTCTGTTATGTTCCATTGTATCTATTTTTCTGTACTTTTACTATTACCACATTGTCTTGGTTACTATAATTGTTTAGTAATTCTTGAAGTTGTCTAGTGTCAGTCCTGTGACATTGTTCTTCTTCCATATTGTGTTGGCTTTTCTGGGTCTTTTGCCTCTCCATATAAACTTTAGAATCAGTTTATCAATATCCACAAAATAACTTGCTGGGATTTTAATTGGGATTGCATTGAATCTATAGATCAAGTTGGGAAGAAGTGACATTTTGGCAATATTGAGTCTTCATATCTGTGAACATGGACTATGTCTCCACTTACTTAGTTCTTTGATTTCTTTCATCAGAGATTTCTAGTTTTCCTCATATAGATCTTATACCTATTTCGTTAGGTTCATTCTTAAGTAAGTATTTCATTTTTTTGCATGCCATTGTGTTATTGATTTCAAATTCTACTTATTCATGTTGTTATATAGGAAAGTGATTGACTTTTATATCTTGACTTCATATCCTGCAACCTTGCAATAATTACTTTTTAGTTCCAGGAGTTTTTTGGTTGATTCTTTCAGATTTTGTACATAAACAATCACGTCATCTGTGAACAAAATTAGATTTATTTCTTCCTTCCCAATCTGTATACTTATTTCCTTTTCTTGTTTTATTGCATTAGCTAGGACTTGTAGTACGATGTTGGAAAGGAGTTGTAAGAGGGGACATCCTTGACTTATTCCTGATCTTAGGGTTAAAGCATCTAGTTTATCATTTTTAAGTATGATGTTAACTCTAGGGCTTTTTATAGATAGTCTTTATCAAGTTGAGGAAGTTCCCTTTTATTTCTGGCTTGCATCTATTGATATGATCTTGTGATTTTTCTTCTTTAGCCTGTTGATGTGACGGATTAGATTAATCAATTTTCAAATGTTGAACCAAGACATCTGATTTTTGTGACTTAATGGGACTTCCAATGAACAGACTAAATTAAATCATATCTATACTTTCTGCATCACATTTTTAAAGAGTGTTAAAAGGCTCCTTTGTCACCTCCTCAGCAGCAATTGATCTTAATAATGGAATTTTGCAATCTTGCAGAAATATTGCAGAGGTTAGTTGTAGACATTTACATATAGGGAATAGCATCTCTTTGTACCAAAAAATCAACTAATTTCTACTCAAGTTTAGGAGGAAAATACAGCATTATTATGGAAGTTTCCTTAAATTGAATAGCTTTTATAAAGTTTTGCTTGTAAAAGTATTTCTCTGATATACAAGTTACTGTATTTCTCATAGTACTTGTGTGATTTAAGAGGTGATAGTTGCTGGAAATGGAGGTTCTAAATACTATGTGTAATTGCCAAGCTATACAAACATTTGATTGCAACGAGTAAGTCCTTTGGGCAGCAAGGCAAGAATTTACATCACTGGAGAGTACTTTAGTCATAGCCTTTACTATTTTACAGCATCTATTTATAGAGATAAGATATTTATATTGGAAAGAGCATAGGGATAATCAGATGAAGCGATATTCAATCTGGATAATGATGCACATATTTTCATTTAAAATGAATGCAGTATGGTGCAAAAATAGTTAAAGAACTTTTATTCTTCCTAAAATTTAGGCCAATGTTTCACAGCCTTGGCTGCACATTATAATCACCTGGAGAACTTGGTGGCGAGAGGTGGAAAAAAAACAGTGCTTGAATACCACTCCCAGTATCTGATTTAATTGGTTTGGGGTCAGGCTCATACACTGACAATTTTAAAGAGTACCTGCAGATAATTCCATTGTGCACCCAGGTTGAAAACCAATGATCTAAAGCAACTCATTTATTTAAAGCAAACATAATGAGGAGGTGACTAATATAATCTTGCTCATTTTGTAGCTTTCCAGAGGCAGGTGTCCCAGCTGAAACATTTTCTGTGCCCCTAACTGGTCCTGCTCTTTCATCTGCAGATTTCCCCTTGCCCTCACCTCATCACTAGGCATGCTAAGGAAAAGAGGCAAAAAAGAGGCAAAATCTGCAATATTTTTCATAAATTGCCGTTATAAAACTTGAGTGGGAGAGGATGTAGGAAAGTGGGAATTGAACCACAGGCTGAAATAAAAATACACATCAATTTTGATTTTATTACAAAATAAAATCTTGCTTCCTTCCATGAGTCTGGTCCATTAAGGTTTGAATACATCAGTAAATTATGATTATCATTTATAAACATAAGCAGAGTAAAAGTATTTTAACATTGAGATCTCAGTAAAGAAATGTTGATAAAATAGTGCTTATTCGTAAAGGTTTATACCACAGAAGTTTTGGTTTATTAACAGTTTAATCAGTTTATTTAACTTTCATAAATAATTGTTTTCAACAGCAGGAACTTCAAATGCAGAATTTGACATCACTGTGGATCCTGAAGTTTATTCTCCTGCCATTGAGAAATTAGGGGAAAGCAGCTTTTCTGAAAGAAATTTCAAGGAGAAAAAGATAGATATGGAAAGTAATCAAAAGTCTGGTGATTCCTGCGTATCACTTGAGAGCAAGGATTCTTTGCCAAGTATAGATTTAAAAAAACCTTCCATTAAGGAGCAATTGTCTCAGGACATCAAAGAATCCTCGGAATTTAACAATCTGCATGAGAGGCCAAACTTTGAAGATTCTAAAACTACAGAGTCACCACTGGTAAATCTCTATTATGTTTATTGTATTAAAAATTCTATATGAAGCATCATAAGAAATTTTATATTGACACCATATATTCTTAAATATTACTACCTATTGAAGTGAAAATGTGCTACCTTATATTATCATGAGATAGTTGAAGAATGACTCACACAGGACAGAATGTTAATGACCTACAGGACAAATTCTAATATGGTAAATGCCATTATAACAAATGGTTTTAGGTGACAAATAACACTTTTCATGTATGATAGAAAGAGAGCTCTTACTTTTCTAAATGAAATTTATTATTATGAATAACTTAATATAATCCTTTTTAGCTTTTTACTGTATAGTCACTGGTTAAAATGAAATAAATGCAGATATGTAGATAGAACCGATTTTTGTGGCTTAATGTAAGTATAAGGTTTTAAAGGCAGTTCCTTCAGAAACATGGCTAATAAAGAAATAAGGGTATAGTTTTCATTTCATTTTAGAGGAAAAAGTAAAGTAGCTCATTGTTGCATTAATGCCAAGTTTTGAAACTATATTTGAATCTCTGTTCTATATATTAAAAATCTTAGGTAATCATGATTACCTAATACGTTTTTTGGAAATCAGGCAAGTCAAATTTTTAACAACCCTTCAAAGTCATTTGAAATGAATCTCCATGGTGCCTGAAGTGAAGGTGGGACCAAAAACATAGAATGACTGTTGAGCTCCTACCACTTCTGCCTGGGGGATTGGATTTTGGGGCCCACTTTGTGATGGGTCTTCTTCCTTTCTGAAGTGCAAAATTGGAACTGAGACCTTTGCAAAAACTTTTGATCCCTAGAAGTGTTCTCAGTCACTGAAGGGATACCCTGGGAGACATACTCACAGATGCAACAAGATGAAGAGAAACTGATTTCTGCAGAGGATCTGGGACAGGTCAATAAAATATCTTACCTGAAAAATGGGTATCTTGGGCTCTCACTTAACATAGGGTTACGGTATAAATATACATTTCTTGCTCAGAAGCTCCAAGCCAACAAATTCACATTAATTTTAATCCATGTCTATTGATACCTTAATGTGTCTGCCAAAAGAAATCCAATCCCTTCTAGAAGATGTTCTCACAATGTAGCCGATAATAGATCTCAAAAACAAAGCCTCATTGCAGATGAGCTTTTCTTCTTCCTCCCCCAGTGAAGAAAACAATCAGACTGAATTTCTGCAAGCAGAACTCTAATTTTCCAATTTCCACGTGGCCTCATGAAGAGGGCTAGGTGACAATCTACTCATGCAGTGTCCTGTGTTATGAGAGAGGAATCCTGAGCAGAAGGACCCCAATTCTTTTATATTGGGTGCAGGCCTGCCTGTTCTGTGCCCTAGGGGGAGACATTCTCTGCTGTAACCTAATAAAGGCATTTGGCCAAAGCTCGCAGATATGTAATCTATGGTGATTTGTATAATGGAAAGCAATCGAGCAGTTAAAATGAATGACATAGGACTATTTTTGTTGATAGGGATACATCTCAAAAATATGGCATTAAAATTTAAATGTAAAAGGACATATAGCGATAAGTTAGTATTTTTGGAAACATTTAAGACAATTATAACTTTTTATAGATTCATTCAGATGTAATAGTCAAAAACATGCATTGGAATTAAGTATGTCTACTTCAGTGCAATAATACAATTAGCTCTAAAGACTAATTTTTTTGGTATGGATATCTGAAGCAAATATATTTTTTAAAGATTTTATTTATGTATGTATGTATTTATTTGAGAGGGTAGGGGAGGGGCAGAGAGAGAATCTGAAGAAGACTCCATGCTGAGTGTGGAGCCTGACACGGGGCTCAATCCCACTACTGCGAGATCATGACCTGAGCTGAAACCAAGAGTCAGACATTCAACTGACTGAGCCACCCAGGCGCCCATGAAACATATTTTAAATTATTGATATTAAATTGTGTGATCAAGTCATGTTATATATAATACGTATCTGCATATTTAAAGTATTACATAATTAGAATTTGAAATATTACAAAGCTACTAACCATATTCTGATTACTTATACTACTATGGTAAAAAAAAAGTGGTAAATGATTATGTCATAGAGAATGGTGTTTTATGTATAGCTGTAGAATCTACTTTGTTTTCATCCGTGATGACTAGACAAGAACTGTTTCTTTCTCGTCCTGCTCTAGTAGAAGCCATTCTTTGAGCAGAGACTACTTAAAAATCTATGTTGCTACAGTAGAAAATTTAAGAGTGAGCAGTAGGGGAAATTTTTAGCAGTAGAATTACTTGACTTGCACTTGAGTGCACAATAGTTCATTTTGCACTTCAGTTTTCAGAAACTGAGTCCTTCATAAAGGTGGAAACTATGGAATTCAGTACCAAGTTGCAGAGCATCAGCAGTGGGGTAGGGTTGGGTGCCAGGAAGAACATGGACTAGTTAGGGGCTCTTGGTTCTGGTCTGACACCACCAGTAGTTAACTTTGTGAGTTTGGGAAACAAACCAATGCAATTTCTTTGTTCTTATCTCTCAACTGATGCTTTTAGAAAACGTTCCAGATTTGCAGTTGTCTAATCCAAATAAGAGCCACAGTAGAGCTGAAGGGGTGCTGTAAATTGATAATCAGTGTCTGGGACAGCCAGGGAAGATGACATGAGTAGAGCCAACTTGGACTTGTCTTTGAAGGAGGTGCTTTATCAGTCACTAGCTTTGTTTTGTAATATTTTATCATTTATATGTCTTATAAATTTGAATTGAGTTATAATTTTTTGTATTGTTTACTACCCTGAAACAGACTTCATTTGGGCATTAATTAGATCCATTAGGGAACTGTTAAATACTGAGAGCACTCCGATCATGTTTTAAGCCCATCTAGAGCTCTCACGTCTAAATCTCTAATCTGTTTCTTACTAGACTCATGCATGTTTTAATCCCATTAATATTCTTCCCTGGGATGAAAGCATATCACAAAATGAATTCATAGGGTGGGAAAATAAGCCTAGGCTTCACATCAGCCAGACCTAGGTCTGCTGGTTTCTAATTGTATGAACTTCTCAAATTACTTAGCTCGCTCTTGCCTCAGTTTACTATATGGATGTTTGCTTCATGATGAGAATTTTATTAACTTGGATTCTGTCTATGACCAGATTTATTTCCCTTGGTGTTCTACTTTCATCTTTGAAGTTAGTTTATGTATAGACGAAGATACTAATTCAAAAGCACAACATATGAGGGAGATTCTGTTTTCCAGAGTAACTTATGTGCAAAGACACTAAGGGAGGAAAATAAAAGAAGGGAGAAAGGAGAACTTTTGTGAACTTCTGTCCTCCTTGGATTGATGGCAACTTTCGGATAATTATCCTAATTGTGGTTTATATATTTTTCAAAACTTACTATATATAAATGTCGTGGTATTGTCTATGTCTTCACTACTAGAACCTAAATCTGATGGGGGCAGAATCTGTGCCAAGAATATAGTAGGTGCTCAATGAATGAATGTGCTGCTTTGTGTTGATGAGATAAAATAAACTTAATTTTGTTAACTGTTTTGTTTCCTAGTTGTTACAAGAAATAGCCCTCAGAAGTAAGCCTATAACTGAACAATATCAAGGACTTGAAAGATTCTTTGTTTTTGATAAAAATGAAAGACTCAACCTCCTTTCCTCTCAAAACTTAGAATGCAGCTATTCCAGTACTAGGATTACAATTGCAGGTAAATTCAGACATGAAATCAGACGGACTGTGGACCAACCTAACATTTTTCTGACACTTTTTTTTTAAACAGCTCATCCTCATTTTAGGAAATACTGGGCAATTCTGTTCAATAAAGAAAGTCATTTTCTTCTTCTCCAGCTGAAATTATTAACCCTGTGTGAGTTGCCACGTATTTATATTTGAGGCTACTCTCAGAATGTGAGAGCACATAAGTAAAATGAGACTGAGGAGAGATTATTTTTAGAATTTAGAAATGTAGCCTTTACTAAACTGTGAAATAGAAATTCTTTGAATCAGTTCATTAGCTGCTAAGTATTGTATGATGATTCTTAAATACCATCTTAAAAGCAAATCCCAAAATCTCAGGATCTGTGAGATTTTTGAGACATAGCTGGAATTTCCTTCTAAAGTTATAGGTCATGGTGTCACCTATATTCTTAGGTTTCCCATGTATTCAGATGTGTTTATTCATGTACAAACTATTATACTTTATGTTATATTGTTATATTCTTGAAAAAGTGTTTTTATTCAAATGTGTGTGTGTGTAATATCTTTGCAATTTAGGGTTTATTTCTTTTTATTATGCTATGCAAATTTTATGGTTTTTATTGTATAATTATGAGATTTCTTTTATAATATATACCTTACTGTTACCAATGTTTCTTATTTAGCTAGGTATTATCCAGTAAGACGATAAATAAAGCAATAACATGGATTTCTCTCCTTTAACAATTTAAATTAGTTTACCATTTTTCCATTTCAGGAGACAGAGAGTGGATCCCAGACCATAGCATAAGTGCATATCCTGATAATGCAGTTGCCTTGGGTGTTCTGCAGAGTGCCCAGAACCCGTCAACGAGCAGAACACAACAAAAGATGGGTAAGATCAGCTGGAAGGCCACAGTACCATACTGTGACTCACTGTGTTTTTTAGTTTGTCTCTGAGCAGTTTACGAGGTACCTGAAAATTTTTGCAGTTTCATAATGTGAACTTACTCATTTTAACTGGCTGCCTTACATTTTTCTTCCAAAATCAAAAAAGCAAGACTAGTTATGTTCTTCTCAACAACATGAGTTAAGTCTTAGTTATTTTTGCAACAATGTATTAGTGAATAATATTTTTGTAACGTAGTTCAGGGTATGGTGTATATTTCAAACAATCCTTATAAAATACATACTCAGTTTTATTACACTCTCAGCAAACAGTGTATTTTTACTAGATTTTGCATATCATCCATTTGGTTCATATTATGATCAGACATAGCCATTTGTTTTGTTTTGTTTTGTTTTTTAAGATTTTATTTATTTATTTGACAGAGAGAGAGAGAGAGCGAGAGCAGGAACACAAGCAGGGGGAGTGGGAGAGGGAGAAGCAGCCTTCCCGCCGAGCAGGGAGCCCGATGTGGGACTCGATCCCAGGATCCTGGGATCATGAGCTGAGCCAAAGGCAGACACTTAACGACTGAGCCACCCAGGCGCCCCAGACATAGCCATGGTTTAGGTTAAGATTGCTGCTTGTAGCCGTGGTTGAGACACCTCTGTTCTACACCTAGTTCTGAATGTGTTAAGCCTGGAATCTTGATTTAAATTCATTAACTCCATTCTCTAACCAAAATAATTTTAAGATTATCTACAGGATAACTCTTTTGACATGTTGAATCTCATTGTGATATTTTCCTAGAGAGTGTACGCAGAGAATTTTGACATCATTAAAGTCAGTAGTTATATTAGGTCATTATTATTATCCAGTAATACCTGCTGCAGTAAATTTGCTTTATGCTGAATTTCATGTGAAGTTGCTGTAGATGACTAGTGAATTAAGGCAATTCAACAGACATGTGTTGAGTATATTTGCCTGATGCTGGGCCCTGAGGGAAAAGGGATGCATAAGTCATGTTCCCTGATCTCCGGGAGGACACAGGTTTAGGAGGAACACTTGACAGAGGGGTTATTTGCCTTCATCTGAGGGCCATCTTCAAGCCAGGGATTTAATTACATGTGATTTATCCAAATATGCAAAATTTATATCTCTCTTGCCCTAAATCCTATGATTCAAACTCCTTGGCTAGCTTAGATCCCTTTCATATGCATTTCTGTTGAGAATCTGTCAGATTTAAATTTTTTTTTTTTAGTAGAAAAAACATCCGTTTATGGTAAATGTTTTTTGGCTGTATGATTAGATACCTGTTCTCACATCAAAGTCTCAAGCAGCTTCAAAACTACTGGTAGCTCCCTTCTCAGGTGATCAAGGAATTGTTTTAAGTTACCATATATTGCTGAAAACAAATTCACATGGGTGCTATGAGAAATCTGTTACTAAGACAAATCTTTATAAATAAGTAGCCAAATGCCTTTAAGTATCAATTTGGAGTGATCAGTTGAAATCAGTAATTTATTATAAAAAACATTTGTAGGAGCACTTACTGTAGGCCAGGCACTGCCAGACACTGGTGACACAAAATCAGCCCCTGTCCCTGTATTCCAAGAGCATAGTCTAGTGCAGAGGTTCTCGAATGTTAGCGTGAGTATAACCACCTGGGAAACCTGTTGTAGTGTGGATTTCGCCACCTCACTCTTAAGATTCTGATTTATTAAAGTTGAGATAAGTTCTAGGAATTTGCACTTATCAACAATTCCATGTTATGCTGTTGTAGACAGTCCAAAAATCATACTTAGGGAAAGCTGCTATATAGATACATGAACACATAAATCACCCCATATAGAATACACATTTTATAAAAGGACTGTGAGTAACATACTTTTGGAGACTGACAGGTAATTAATAATAATAGTACATATGATCAGTTATATTAGAGGTAGGTACATGTGCAGTCTTTTTAGGAATGGAGATGGTAAAGTGATTGCTTTGTCATTAAAAGGTGTAGGTCACCAAGGCATTAGAGACCAGGTGACATTTCAGCTGAGTCTTAAAGAATTAATAAGATTTGCCAGTTAGGAGCAGAGAGAAAGGACTTTCTGAAATATTTCAGTAGCCTGAAATAAAAATAAAAGTTTTCTGGCTATGTCATAAGTTATCGAAATCTTATCTTCTGACCTGATGCTAGTGTATAAAGGAATTCTTCTGTAAGATTTTTAAGTTTGTGAATGTAGAAACACAATAGCTATGAAATACACCTGTGTTTAGCAGCAAGCCCATTGATCCTCCCCAAGCCCTGCCAAAACCTGCTTGCCCACTGCATCTTCTCATGTCTGTCTGCATGACCATATAAACATCGGTACGTCTCCAAATCAGGAGCCATCTTGTCTCTCTCTTACCCACCACAGCCTGGTCATCCCTAGAGCCTGCTGACTTCAGCATTAATACTGATCCCAAATCTGACCACTTCTACCTTCATTGCCTAAGATGAGCCCAAGCCAGTTGTCCATCATCTCTCATTTGTCTCTCAGTTTCACTTTTTGCCTTTCCTGAAAACAAGTTTCAAAAAATAATTTCCATCAAATTCTGTTGTTTATAGTCAGTGAGTGAATTGTTTATAGTCATAAAATTGTTTATAGTTAATAGGGAGCTCATCACATTTTCTGTAAACTTAAAGCATAAGTTGCATCTTGTCAATCTCCTGCTTAAAAGCATTTTATAGCTTCTTATAGAAGACAGAAAAAACCCCCCAACATTTCTTACCAGACATCACAGAGCAGTACTACTGAGTTGGCCCTGCCCGACTGCCAACCGCACCCTCTCCCACAGTGCGGGTAGGCTGGCTTCTTTTTGTCCTCACACAGGCCACGCTCTCTCTTGTTAGCTTTAGAATTTGCTCTTCTATCTAACCTGGGATGGTCTGTAGCCTCTTTCTCCTGCTTCATATCCTTTTTCATATGATCGATTCTTTCCCATTTTTCCATCTCAGCCAGATGATGCCTCCTTAGAGAGACCTTCTGAAACCACCCTACCTGATGCTAACCTCTTTTTTTTTTAAGATTTTATTTATTTGACAGAGAGAGACACAGCGAGAGAGGGAACACAAGCAGGGGGAGTGGGAGGGGGAGAAGCAGGCTTCCTGCCGAGCAGGGAGCCCGACCGCAGGACTCGATCCCAGGACCCTGGGATCATGACCTGAGCCGAAGGCAGACGCTTAATGCCTGAGCCACCCAGGTGCCCCTGATGCTAGCCTCTTGAGAGCCCCCAAACACATTTACCTTCTTTTGTCCTTCTCCTAGAACCTATTACTAGATGAAAGTATCTTACTTGTTTATTTTCTGCTCATCCTACGCTTGGTTGGAAAGAAAGCGAGGACCTAGCCTGTCCTTTTCTTGGTTGCGTCCTTAGTGATGGAACACAGCCTGGCATATTGTCAGCACTTAGCAAGCGTGTCTGAAGGAGTGAAGCAGGAGAGCAGGACTGTGTGTTAGTGTGGGGTACAACTTGAGGGTAGAGGCAATGTCTCATTTACTTTTGAGTACCCTGATCCTGACAGAGTGCCTGGCAATTTTAGGATTTGAGAAATGATTTTGTAATTTAATTGGCTTGGGTATTAATTCATAGGCTCTCAGAGTTGGAGGGGATTTGAGACATCATTCTGTCCAACCCCTAAATTCCTCCTAACTTTTGCGGGTGAAATACAAATTTGCATGTCTCAGGTCACAAGGTGATTTCTAATTCAGTGAGACTGGGCAAGTGCTTCCCACTTTAGCCTTCTTTCTACTAACCCACACTGCTAAATAAAATGTCCATATATGTGTTAAGAACTCTTAGAAAATACATTTTTATGTTTTATGTATAAATGCTTAGTAATTTACACAGTAGAACAAGAATATCAAAAGGTAGTGATGTTTCTCAACTTTTATTCAGGAATAAAATAGTGGCTCCTTTGATCAGATGTTATTTGTTACTAAAACACTGCAAAAAGCATGTTGCTCTGCTGATGTTTCATCCAATTCTAATGTTTTTATTTAGACTAGCAATAAGAGTTATTGTACTAAATACCATCCAGTGAGTGGTTCATACTTTCATATCCTTGTCAGCATTCTTATGCCCATTAATAAAGTGCAGAGCGCCCTTCTCTTTTATCTTACCAATATATGGCATGGTCTCATTAGTAGTCATAGAGCATATACTTTAGCTAATACCAAGAACAATTTCTTTCATAATTTTTAGAGTATAACTGCGGTCAGTGGTAATCTGTAATTTCCTAAGATTACACTGCCAAATGGCACGAGTTACTCCAAAAGGAATTTCTTCTGTTTATAATCTACAAACGGGACTTCTAAAAAAATTATGGAATGTTCCCTTCAATCATGGCATTTTTCATTAGTGTCAATCTTAATGGTGTTTCAAATCTTAACCCCAGCAGTAACATCAATAAGCTTCTACATTAATAAGCTTGTAGAGAACGATATACTCACCTAAATAAACAAAATAAATAAATAAAATCAAGGGCCAGATTGAAGCTTCTTCTGTCTCTTTCTATGTTTTGGGGACTTTAAATTACCCTTTAAACATATTTTCCATAAAAAAGATGGTCTGTTTGCTGCATGCTGAGCATAAGTCTGCCCCACCCCCAGTGTCCTTTTTTCTCAGTTGGGATCAATTAACCTCTAATACTGTGGCAACCAGATGTCACAAGAGTTCGGCAAGTGTTTGTGCTCTTAATCTTCTGAAGGGCATCTAAGTTATGCTAAATTTTTCTCAACTCATATTTGTCTGTGTTGGCAGAAGTCCAGTTTGTCCTCATAACGTCTTCCACTTGCTTTATTTTAATCAGAGTTCTGCATTCCTCTGAATTTTACTTGACTGGGACAGAGCACAGTACAAATAGAAGGGTCTCATTTTCTCCACAGATGCAGAAGTTTCAATTCATATGGTGAATTATTGTTATACTCACATGCTTCCACGATGGCTGTTCCTACTACTGCTTTATTATGTAGGAATGGCAAGGTTGCTTTTTTGTGTATCATGTATTTTTATGTATTTGTGTATTTTATATATGATGTACTTTGTGTATTAGAGGTAAAAGGGGAAATTATTTCCAAATTCTAGCCATTAAAGTAATCCATAGGGATATTTACATTTATATGTCTTCAAACATAGATGCATTTTTGTCAGTGATTTTTCTTCATAATTGTCTCTGTGCACATAGACAAAAAGGTCAGAATCTTATTTTAATTTATTCATAATTTCATTCCAACAAAAAATGTTTTCAAAATTGATTCCTTAAATGTTCATTAAAATTGGTGCCCTTTGGGACTTACCTTAGTCAGTTTTAATTGCTTAAATAATTACATACTGCATTAAAGATGCTTCTTAGGGTACTAGCTACATTCAAAGTAGATTTTTAAGTTAAAAAAAAAAGACAAACTCAGTAGTTATTAAATGTTTAATACATGACAACTACCTCTAGTTACTCTTCTGAATCTTACATTTTCCTTTGAGTTGAGTGGGCATAATGCTATAATGGAATATGTTCATTCAAATCATGACTTTCATGATATTGACAATAGCGCTTCTTTAAATAATCCAGTATTTTACACAAAGCCAATTTGTGTTAAGGGACTACAAGGTTATCTTATAAATTATTTATATTTAATATAAATATATTAATCTAAATCAGGACCGTGATTTAGCACATATAAAAGTATACCTACACTATGAATCTAAATTTGTACTTTGAATATTTCCTTGGCCTTCACTAAAGAATCTTGTGAGCAGTACCATAAGATAGATATATGTAGAGAGAGAGAGAGAGAGATAAATAGTTATTTTGTGTTAGTGTAGGATTTGAAGAGTTTTTTTTCCTACTATGAAAGAAACACACATGTTGAATAAACCAACTAAACCAACCTTTGAAATAGGTGAAGACAAGTTGCCTGCCAAAGTGACTTAGTGGAACAAAGTAATAACCTGAGTTAGATCTGTGTTTCTGGAACTTTTCCACTAAAGTGCCCTCTAAAGCAGCAGAAAGTGAACTCGTATTTAGGAAAATTAGAAATGTGATCTCAGTATCTTTAAAGCCTGTGTTTTTCTAGAAGATTTTGCATACTAGTATTTTGTCTCCATATTTGTCTTAATAGAAGAATGTTACACACCATCAAATAAAATTCACTAGGAAGTGGTACCATGTCTATTTTATGTGCTTTTACTCTTACAAGGCACAGTGTGGTATCATCCTAGAATTTAAGAAACACGACACAGTTTGGGATGTTTATGGAAAAGGTTATAAGATTAGACATTGGGGAAAAAAAAGATTATAGACACTGAATTGTTCTGGAATTAACTTGGTTTACAGATGTCTTGCTTTAGTTAATTTAAAATTAGCTTGTCTTTTTCTGAATGTAGGAAAAAAAAGGGAAAAATAACCCAGAAGTGTTCTTTATGACATAAGGAAAGTAACTTGGGATTAAAACATTGTGGTAAACCAGAATGCATGATAATTTAAAGTCCACTTTCTCTTAAACTCTGTTGCATGACCTTAACTGCTCTAGATTTAGGGGGCTGGTATTTTATATCTTTAAGCATTCATTCAGAATTTTTGAAAAGGTTGATATAAAAATTTTTTATCTTTTGTTTTAGGCCAGATATCACAGAGACCTTCAACAGCAAATTTACCCCTTTCCAACTCTGTTAAAAAAAGCTCCAGCTGCCTTGTCTCCTCCCATCCTCGATCAAGAAGTGTGGCTGCTCGACCATTATCTAGAGCTGCTTCTGAAATTTCAGAAATTGAATATATTGATATTACTGACCACTCTGAGCCTTTCCTAGATGGCACTGCTGATCAGCAAACCTTAGAAAGTTTGGAAAAAGAATTAAATGTGCTGAGAAATCTTGCAGGTAATGCTATTTTTTTCACTATAGACAATGTAACTCTGCCTTCTGCTTGATTCTTCATAATCATGTTCCAAGAAAACAAGGCTTTCCCTTTCCCTTATTTAACCACCAACCTTTGTATTTGTTTCCTTGGATGTCCCTGATGTCACCCTGAGAATGTTATAAAACGTATGGATGCCCACACCAGAGATGTCTCCCTTCGCCTATGTAATACACAGTTAAAATATAGCATAAGGAACTTCATGTGGACAGCAAAATAATTTTTTTCTCCTTTCTACAACCCCTCTGAGTGGCTGATCTCTGTAGCTTTATGAAAGCCACCACCCAACACCCTTGTTGGAGAATTGAGCTGTTAGATCTTTTAAAGCAGTATTTGTCCAATTTCAATGTGTATACAAATGCCTTGGGGGGTCTTGTTACAATGCAGATTCTGGGGTGGGGCCCAGGATTCTGCACATCTGACAAGTACCCAGTTGACGTCAATGCTGGTTGGCAGACCGTTTAAGGAGAAATTATACTTGTGCATTCTCTTTCCTAAACCTCAGTGGTTGCAGTCAAGCAAATGATAACCATATCCTTGAAAGAAATACAAAAAAAAAAAAAAAATACTAGGATGGAAGCCAAAATCCCCACAAAATCTTATTCCTCCAAAAACAACCATGCTATTTGATGAGCATCATAAGTATACATATAAAAATACGTAGTTAGAAGGATGAAAAATTGAAGGAATGACAGTAAAAATTTTATAAAAATATATTTATGCTCTGCATATTTTTAAATAATTATGTATTTACCCAGTTTAACAAAAGAAAAATTGAAATGAAACCAAAGGAAATTGTACATTTCAGAGAAGTATTTTTTCATCACAAAAATATTAAGTTGAAATATATGAAACTGCCGTTTTGTACACAAGAAACAGTGGGATATTGGTAATTTTATATGGTCTATCCTGTAACTTTTTATAAATATCCTTTTAAAAATTAAGGAAAAAGGAAAAAAGAAACATTAAGTTATGAAGGCCATTTGTAACTATATATGACTTAGTTTTAGACAATAACGATTAAATCCCTAAAATTAAAGGACTCATTTGTTCTTTTTTTTTTTTTTAAAGATTTATCCATTAATTTGAGAGAGAGAGAGAGAGTGTGTGTGTGAGAGCACACAGGGGAGGGGCAGAGGGAGAGAGAAACTTCAGCTGACTCCTGTTAAGCTGATAAGTTGGAGGCTGGGCTTGATCCCATGACCCTGAGATAAGGACCTGAGCAGAAACCAAGAGCAGGAGTCTCAACTGACTGGGCCACCCAGGCGCCCCTGGTTCTTTTTTTTTTAACCACATGTGATTTATAAAAAAATTATATATATATAAATATACATATATTTATATATAAATTACATTTACATAATTGAACATATTGCTATTTTATTATTATTTTTCATTTTTTAAGGTTTCCTTTTATTTTCTTTTTCTATGTGAAAATTCATATTAGATTAAATGATCAGTACTGGCATTTTTACTATGACTTTCCAATTTTGAGCCTTTTATTTTGATCCATCTCTAGACGATTTGATTGTGGAATTCGTGAGAATGCCTGTTTCATCTTTATGGTCAATTGGCAAGTTAGCTAGATTAATTTAGTGGATCACAATTTTTTTTCCTCTGGACTTAGCAGACATTTCTCCACTGTCTTCTGTCCCTGATTTTCGATGCTAGTTTAGCATCAAGTTTTCCTTTTAACTTCTGTTCGGTTAAATTTAATTGTTGAATAGTTTTGCCCCCAGGTAGGGCTCATGGTAGCTCTACTGCTCGAGTTCTTTCATGTTTGAGAATGCATGCTTCCTTTATATTCAGTGGCAAATCAGCGGAGGGTAAGTTCCTTGGGTCATTTTACTTGTAAAACTTGTACATACTGATTTTTTGCTTTCTGGGTCTGAATTCTGCTATGAAGTAGTCTGAGGTCACCTTGGTTTTTTACTTCACTCTCTCTCTTGCATGTGACAGGGTTCTTTCCTGACTAGATGTTTGAAGAATTTTTTTCTTAATCTTTGAAATTCAATAACTGGACCAGGAATGTATTTCAATATCAATAATTGAGGATTTCTTAAAGCACAGGGCTCTCTTTCTTTCTGTAGAATAAATTGCTCCTTATTTTCAGAGAAATTTTCTGCTGTTGTATGTTTGAATTGCTTTTCTGTTCCATTTGGCTTTCTCTTGCTGACAAACCTATTTTATCTATGTTGGATCTTCTTTGTACAATGTATTTACTTACATTTTCTTCAACTATTTTAACCAGTTTTTATTTTCCTTTGCATTTACTACTTTATCTTAAGCTTGTATTCTATGTTGGAAATTTAATTTTCAGCTATAGTTATAGAATATTCTTTATTGATTGATTTAATAAATAATGGATTTGATTTAATAAATTAGCTCTCTAAAGGTATTGTTTTGATTTTTTTTGGTAAATTTTTACTTTGATAAATTTCAGATTTATAGAAAATTTGCAAGAATGCAAGAAAATACAAACTCCTGTATACTCTTTATCCAATTCACTATTTATCTGTCTTTTGCCCTGCTTAGATATGTACATACACACACACACACACACACACACACTACCTTTTCTTGTGAACCATTTGAGAGAAAGTTATAAAGATTATGACCCTTGATCAAAAAAATACTTCAGTGTGTATTACCCAGGAACAAGAATCATAATAATAAAAATCAGGAAATTTAATATTGATATAATGTGATTCTCTAATCCACAGTACATATCTAATTTTTAAAATTTGTCTCAATGGTGTTCATTATTCTTGTTTTTTTTCTGGTACAGAATCCAATCCAGGGCCATTGGATTTTTTTTTTCTTTTTGATGTCTGACATGCTATTGTTTGATCTTTGAGATTAGTTTTACTCTTTTTAATTAATTAATTTTTTTATTGAAGTATAATTGACATACAATATCCTATTAGTTTCAGGGTACATAAGAGTGATGAATATGTTTATACATTATGAAGTAATCCCCCTGGCAAGTCTACTTACCATCTGTCACCACACACAGTTAATACAGTATTACTGACTATATCCCTTGTGCAGTATATTACATTACCGTGACTTATTTATTTTATAACTGGAAGTTTGTACCTCTTAATCCTCTTTACCTGTTTTGCTCACCCCCTACTCCTTACCACTCTGGTAACCAAGAGTTTGTTTCCTAGATCTATGAAACTGTTCTGTTTTGTTTTATGTGTTTAATTGTTTTGTTTTGTTTTCTTAGATTCCACATATAAGTGAAATCAAATGGTATTTGTTTTTCTCAGTCTGACTTATTTCACTCAGCATAATATCCTCTAGGTCCATCCATGTTGTTACAAATGGCAAGATTTCATTCTCTTTTTGTGTCTGAGTAATATTCTGGTGTGTGTGTGTGTGTGTGTGAGTGTGTCTATGTGTGTCTGTGTGTATCTCGCATCTTTATCCATTCATATATTGATGGACATTCAGGTTGCTTCTATATCCTGGCTATTTTAAATAATGCTGCAATGAACATAGGGGTGCAGATATCTCTTTGAATTGGTGTTTTCATTTTATTCAGATAATCTAGAAATAAAATTGCTGGATTGTATGGTAGTTCTATTTTTAACTTTTTGAGTAACTTCTATATTGTTTTCCATGGTAGTTGTACCAATTTACATTCCCACCAACAGTGTACAAGGGTTCCCTTTTTTTTCACATCCTCACTAACACTAGTTATTTTTTTTTTTTGTCTTATTGATAATAGCTGATCTGACAGGTGTGAGGTGATTATGATATAGAGCATTTTTTTATATGCCTATTGGCCATCTGTATGTCTTCTTTGGAAAAATGTCTGTTTAGGTCCTCTGACCAGTTTTTGATTACATTGTTTGTTTGTTTGTTGATATTGAGTTATATAAGTTCTTTTTGTATTTTGAATATGAACCCATTATTGGCTGTATGATTTGCAAATATTCTTCTCCCATTCAGGTTACTTTTCCATTTTGTTGATGGCTTCCTTTGCTTTTTAGTTTGCTGTAATCCCATTTGTTTATTTTAGATTTTGCTGCCCTTGCCTGAGAATACTGGTCCAAAAATATTTAATAATATATATTGCTAAGACCAATGCTGTAGAGTTCACTGCCTATGGTTTCTTCTAGGAGTTTTCTGGTTTTAGGTGTTACATTTCAAGTCTTTAATCCATTTTGAATTTATTTTTATATATAGTATAAAATAGTGGTACAGTTTCATTTTTCTGTATGTAGCTGTCAGTTTTCTCAACACCATTTATTGAAGAGACTGGGATCTTTTATGGCTCCATACAAATTTTAAGATTCTTTGGTCTAGATTTGTAAAATATGCCATTGATATTTTGATGGAATTTGCATTGAATCATTGGATTGCTTTGGATAGAATGGACGTTTTAATAATATTTATTCTTCCAATCCAGGAGCACATTGTATCTTTTTTTTTGAATATGAGATGTCTTTAATGTGATTATCAAACAGATTTAAAATAATCTTTGAATAGAGAGTTTTCAGTATAGGCACTTCATTATTTTATTTATTTAAATATCAGTGGTCCTAATATTTATTCTATTTTTTTTAAGATTTTATTTATTTTTTCTCTTTAAATATTTTATTGTTATGTTAATCACCATACATTACATCATTAGTTTTTGATGTAGTGTTCCATGATTCATTGTTTGTGCATAATACCCAGTGCT